TAGAGGGTTACTGATGATGTAATAAACTACAGTGGGTTTATGGAGCCCATGCATATATCTGATCTTATCAAATACTTCTCTTCTACTCTGCTTGCTAACTGACCTTTAATGCATGTAAGAATGAAGGATGAGAACAGAAAACTGAAATTACTGTTTCTTCCATTTCAGGCCAGACATCCTCGGAAATTACACCATGAGATCTTTCTATCATGATGTTGTCGACCTTCAGGTTCTGCTTCACTTTGCAAAAATGACTGCTCAGATACATCATTACCATATCATGCTCTTATCGTTATTATTTTTTTCAGTAGGAAAAAGATATTATAGACACTAGGTACCATGGAGCTGCCACCCTAGTACTTAGGCAAGAAAGCAAATTTACAAAGTAGGGTCTGCTAAAATATGTAAAAGGCTCCAGTAGCTTTTCAAAAATGAAGCGGATGGCATCTGAACAAAAGACATAAGTTTACTATCCAGTGGGGAAATAGGGCATCAAACATTCTTATGGTACATTCTTTCCTAATGGTCCAGAAAGTAGTGGGGAAGAGCAATCAGCTTCTTCTTCTTGTTAATCTGGATACCATTCGAAGCTAGAAGGTTAGAGTAGATAGAGCCATTCTCACAACCCATCATTTGCCCATCAGACTAGTGACCGAGTCCCATAGATTTCTCCCCTCATAGCACCATAGATTTGGGGATTCATTGTCACACAAACAAAGGGATTACCTACTTGACGACCCAAACACCTCTTTTTCTCAAGTTATCCATGGTGAGAATGCAAGGCCAAGCTGCTTCCCTGAAAAAAGGCCACCCATGGTGAGGCTCTATGTTTCCATATGCATTTCTATGGGAACCTATCAAACATGACATCATTGCTGTTCAAGGCTGATAGTAAGAGTTGACAAATAATTTTCTAATATTAGGGCTTCTAGATCGGCTCATCATTGCTATTTTGGTGTACAGACGTTTATATAAAGAAGAAGAAAACAAATGAATTTCCTTTCCTCCATTTACCATTCATTGAGATCATAGATGAGAGAAATATGTCATACCCTCCCATCC